TAATATTACAAACCTTATATATATTATCTTCTTCTTCTCATATTGTATGCATATGAGGGCCTGAAAATTTCATCAAGCATTTAAAATGATAATTCTACCGCTACAAGTGTATGAGCTACCAGAAAAGCCGTATTTTAAAAATCCATTAAGAACCCTTCATTTGAAAAGCATTACGATCTATTGGATCAGTGATCTGTAAATGAAGAAGGATCAGCAAAAGGACTGTAATTAATCTGAAGGTGCTTGTCAAAAATTGCTTGTTAATATTACATGCTGATGATGAGCATTAGTAGAAAGCGAGCTGTGCAGCACTGCTGAGGAAATGCACTGCCTGAAAAACTGCACTTGCCAAAATTTAGATATACAAAACACAAGGGATATTGTGTACCCAAAAGCCTCGCATGATTATTTGTTACTATCTAAATTTCAATTGATGATGAGTTATATATTAGAAGAAGAAGAAGAGTTTGGATTTGATATCCCGCCTTTCACTCCCCTTCAGGAGTCTCAAAGCGGCTAACATTCTCCTTTCCCTTCCTCCCCCACAACAAACACTCTGTGAGGTGAGTGGGGCTGAGAGACTTCAGAGAAGTGTGACTATCCCAAGGTCACCCAGCAGCTGCATGTGGAGGAGCGGAGAAGTGAACCCGGTTCCCCAGATTACGAGACTACCGCTCTTAACCACTACACTGCACTGGCTCTCAATTCATTAAGAATGCATTTTATCCTTTGCAGAAAGTGGGGCAGCTTCCAACTTCTACACGTTGTGAAAATATTTAAAATGTAATAAATTGCAAAAATGCTCCGTGCCAAAATGGTCAAAGTACAACAAATGCTTCAATTCCATTCAATGGGAAGCCTAACGTCTGTTTTGCTAGAGGCAGCTTAGCATAAGAGAACCATTCTGGGGAAACGAAGACATGAGTTTGTTTATGGGATGTCCACAAATAAATCCATTATGGGAGAACAGACCTAGGTAAAGAGGTATTAAACTCTTTTTAAAATACGTATGTGGCAGTAGCATAATCAATAACTCAAATACTGATATGTACTGCAGTCACTGGCTGGCTAGTCTGTTGCTGCCATCTCCTTCTCTTGTTGGGGAACAAAGAGTTTGAGATGGGAATATGTAGTGTTGTTTCCATCTTGGACCCTTGGCTGCAGGTTGCTCTGTCCCAGTAGGTTGAAGGAGATGGTGGTCTAGGAACAAGGGGGCAGTTGAGCAAAGAGTGCAGGCACTGGAGACCCATTAGAATGGCCCATCCCAGAAGGATGTCTGAGTGTCCTTGGGTAGTTTTCACACTGCCATGTCTGGGGTTCCTGTTGATGTTTTTAGCTATGTTGTGGAATTCAAAGATGAGGTGGGTGCTTCAATATAAGCAACTACGGTATCTTCCTGTATAGGCTGCCTGGGCTGGAAGCTGGGGACACTGTGCTGTTGTGTTTCTGTATTTATCTCAATGGCATATTCCATAAGATGCCGCTTATTTTGGGGGGCCCACATGGCATTTGTTCACTATCTACATAAACTGATCAGTGAGGTCATCCAGAAATTTAGAGTGTGGTTATCCAATATGTGGCCTACATCTTATTTTTATTTGATTTTGATGAGGTGGTAGACCAGGGTTTGAGATTCCTAATGAGTCAGATGAGAAGCCATATACTGAAACTCAGTTCAGGTAAGAAAGAAGTGCTGCTGGTCAGTTGTTCACCTGTCAGTCTGATGAAACTCAATCTGTTCTGGATGGGGTTGGGCCCCCTGCTAAATGGGCAAAATACTTATACAGTAAATTAAAAAGTGATTGGGCTTTTGTACAGAACCATGTACAGAAGCAGAAGTATGGCCAGCAGCACTATCCAGCTCCGAAATGAATACTTCATTCAAAGCTGTATCATCATTATTAAAAGGCCTAGTTGAGCAACACAAGAGCAGTCAACTATAATGCTGAAACTCTGACAGCTAACAAAGTAATTAAAATCAGTTAAAAATATAAGATTTTCACCACCATTCTTAAGTTGCTTAAACTGATTTATGTCAGTGAAGTGAATACAAAAAAGTGACATTCAGATCTAGGATATTTTTTCAACTGTTGTTACCAGATATTACATATTATAAAAACAGTGGATAAATGCAACATATAAATGCTTCAGGGGGACTGATCATTTGCTCATTCCTGCAGTTGCAGGAATGCAAATGATCAGTCCCCCAAAGCATTTTCACTTCACCGCATTCACAAATATTTCATAGAAATTGTTTTTAGAGAAATGGGAACATGGAATGTAGATGTACTGTGGAAGCTTCTCCTATTTCTCTGGTGTTATGTTCAGTGCTACAATGCCCAACCTCAGCTCTTGATCATGACTCATGTGTATGTTTGCAGCTAGGTTTTTGAATTTCATCATTACAGCCAGGTGGAGGAAGAAGAAAAAATGGTGGGACTACTGAACGGACCCATAGATATTCTATTAATACAACATATTAGTGCTAGAAACTGCAGGCGCCTGATGTAATGTTTTGCTTTTGCAATGTCTGTGATGAGATGTCTATATGGGAATAGCTATACAGGAAGGTCATAGTTGGCTGCCTCTATGAGATGAGACACTACAAATAAAGACCTCCCTATATACAGTAGCAAAGAGAAATGAGTTTTACAGATGTGACCAGCTTCAAATATCCAAAATGTGCCCCTGCTCCCAGCAGACCTAGACTATATGTTGGAAATATTTTCTCATGCTGTCTGGCAACTCTTAGTTACTGGGTCCACTACATGAAGAGGTAGAATTTTAATACAATTTTAATAAAAATAATTACGTTAAAAAAGCTTGGATTTCAAACTTTTATCATTTTTTTAATAAAAAAAAAGCTAATGGAGAATTCCTTAAGTTGGTCTGATATATACTCAATAACCAGCTGTCAAATTTGGATATTAAATAATTTTATGCATATTTTGTGCTATGACTGCTCAATTGAATACATTTCTACATAAGTCAATGTCTGCGTGTGCTCAGCAGCTTTGCTGGGTTATTTGACAGCAAGATGCTATTGTAACAATAGCTGCCAACTTTCAACACTCCAAAGATTAATGAGTCAGCTTTAATCTTTGAATATATGCAGTTCCATACAAAGCAGTATAAATTAAAAATAATGGATACTTTGATGCTTTGTTTGAAGAAAATACAATATTGCCAATCATACTGTAAAATTATAGTGGCAATAAATAAAATAATTGTCCCAATCAATCTAACAATGAATAAAATATTTTTTTAGAAGTGATGTAATAAAACAAACTTTAGTATCACTCCTGGTCATTTGCTACATGTAATCACATGGTAGAGTTCCACAGCCCATGTGGGCTGTGGGAGTTTATTGGAGTAGTTACCTTAGAAAAGTTTTTTTTCTGCTTCAGAATCTATAGGTAAAGAAAAAGTGGCTAAATTCAGTTGCTTGCATGAAGCCTTAAGTGGAGTCCTGAATCTGAAGTACCTGGGATCAATATGCTCAGTTTTAAGTGTCATTAGAGAAAACATGGTTCTGGTTAATTATTGGTGCAGAAATTAAGCGTTTTACAAATATCACTGCAACTGGAAGTGTTCGAAGCCATTTTTACATATGATTTAGGGAATATTAAAATCTATTCATTCAGCTTTTCTGTAATCTCTATTTTCCTCCTTTAGCACATCTTCGACTCCCTTTTTGTTCAAAGGTCCAAGCATCGCCCTAGCCAATTATAGGTTTTAGAATGTATTTTTATGTCATGTGTGAATTACATTGTATTAACACAAGTATATGCTTTGATGGAAAAGGGTTAAAATATTTAAAATAAAAAATGCATATTTACTTTATTTCTATTCCATTGTTAACTCTGAAGAACTTAGGACAACAGGTAGGTTTTCCCAGCTGGTCTACCATCCCACCCTTTTTTCAAGGCTTGGGCGATTACATATAAATTACAACAGACCATTCTTGCCCAGACCATATTGTTCCTGCTCCTAGAGAAACAATTTACAACAATCCTACTTTTATCACTAAAGGCCAAATTATGAGTAGTCATTGGGAAAATGCAACTATTAAAGTTCCTAGAGCATGAGCTCGGTCTTTTTTAATAGTAGTATGTTTTTGGGTGAAGATGGCTACTTCCTTTTCTAAAATCTGCTGCATCTTTAAAATCTTGAAAAGCTGAGAAATAATTTAGACCCCTACAAACATTTTCAACTCTTTTCATACAACAATGCTAACTCATTCAGTGACTTCTTCAGAAAAAAGAGAGGTACATACATATAGTCAACAGCACTATTCTATATAGATCTGCTCAGAATTCTCATTGTTAATAGTGCATACTTCCAGATAGGAAAGTAGCCTAAAATAATTATAAGTCAGACATTCCATAAAAGGACAATCAGTACAATTGTCGGTAAATAGTCTGTTCACAGTTCTCAGTAATTGAATTGCTCATTTCATGTTGCCTGCTGTAAATATTTCTTAGATAAGAGCAGGATTCTGTTTGTTAGAACCAATGGAAAATACTTTCAAATAGACTTCTACTGTTGTCAAAATAATTCATGCCATTATGGAAAAGGATTCTGAACTAGAGCCATAAATTGTAATAATTTGCTAAAGTTAATTCCTTGGATTAACACACAAAAGTCATCCTATCCCATACACAGTAAGTATAAAAGCAACTTTGGAGAGTATTATCCTGCTATGTTATTGCAGCTTGCAGTTTTTTTTGCACTCAAGTGTCAACTATCCTGAAAAGATACATTGAAGAAGATTTCTATGAAATACATTCCAAAAAATCTATATATAGTTATTCAGGCGTAACTTGAAATAGATTAGAAGCCCACTGGATGAACCACATCAAAGCAACTGTTGGCACAGACAAATTCTGAAGATACAGAAGGATTATTTTCTTTTCTACCTTAATTGTGATGTTGCAAGTTAACTGCTGAAAACCAGGGTGAGGGGAGCTTTTGATTTTTTTATTAGCGATTAGACTTACTTTTCTTTAAGGAAATCCACTACCCTTTTGAAGTCCGCCACACAGTATTCCCTCTTCATGTCCATGAGTACGCTATCAGAGGCACTTTGAACTGGTACATGAAGAAATGCATAGACTCTTGGATGGTTGAGAATTTTTGCCATTTCCTAGAAGATTAAAAATGAAAACAATAACATTTTTACCACATCCCGATAGGCACGCCATTGCCTCCATTCATCACCAGCATACAGAATGTATTATTAACCAGCATTACAACACACATTCATGTGAGGATGTACTGGAGTACTCAACATTTTATTTATGATGAAATCACATGCACCGGCAATGGATCACCGATGAATACGTGAAACAAATTTACTGAAAAGCATCATGTCCGAGGTGGAGTAAAGGAATATGGAAGTTTCAAGGTGCTGCATTGTAAAGCCCCATTCCCCCGCCCTACAAGTCAACACTTGATAACACAGTCATTAAGTATACACATGTGTGAACTAGCCCTCCTCCAATTCTGTTACCTCTTCTGTTTTCACAATTTCCTGCTGGCAATTTCCCCTTACCAAAATTGAGGCCTAGGTGAAGAACATGAATATCTCTTCATTCTACTGGAGTCATAATTTGACTTGCTGTATGCTGATATGAAGTTAGATTTGTCCTGGGAATTTTGTACAAAATAAAAACCCCAGTTTCAAACTTGTACTAAACTGGGTGGTTCATTTTTATTTTATTTTTTTACTACTCAGTTATTTTTCCTGATGCCTGGAAATATTTTCCTTTCTACCTCCCTAGTCTTTCTTGTATTTCTATAAATTATACTGTGTGACAGCAGATAACACCTCAAAATTTCAGTGCTTCTGTAAGTCCATAAGCCAACTGAGGCAAGGCCGAAGAATGCATTATTTGCTTATTTGAAAATAAGTTATGTTATGAGATGGTGGAGATTATTTTGAATGACATACATCATGACCAGGATCCCCACAACTATTTTTACGTACACAAGAGGCCTTTGAACTTGCACTTCTCAGGCAGCAGATGGGTTATATCATGACAAACCATTGTTGAATTTGAAGGAACTTTCCAAATCACTGGGCATCACCCAAGCCCTCAGAAGTTGCTAACACAGCACTGGATGCTAACCAGCAAATGGAAAGTTGAAACACATAAGGACTTATGAGGCACAGCCAACAGGGAGATTTTTCCTGCATCTAGGATGTTCAATTCAATATAATACAAGGTGTTAATAAATGAAGCCATGGAAGATGGTTTAGGACACAGAGAGTTAGAGCCAACCAGGTCACTGTGCGAGCAGAACTGCTTCCATGAGTGTGGTGAAAGTCCTCTCCCTCTCACCTATATCCTACGTCATAAAATTAGTCCTAGCTTTATTACAATAAGCAGGTTATAAAACCTGGCACAGAACGAACATCTAAAGCTGGGGGTTCCCAATTTTTTTTTTATTGGTCTTTTCAGAGACTGGAGGCATCAAGTGAACTGCCACACACAAATATTGTAGTATTATTTTACTATATGACTTGCTGGGATTGATACATCATAAAAAAACCTTGCTGCAGAAAGTTTAACTGCTCTTAAAAAAAAATTTAATCCGGAAAAATAACTCTTCTTCCTCCTTCCATATAATCTCATTTGTATTTACATTTAGATGCATTCTAAAGTCGAACAAAAGTAACTGATACATTTACTATCTTGTTCTTACACAAATAATTTAATTTAATTTAATGGAAAAAGCCAAAAAAGCTAGATAGCAACACGTGTTTGCATAATTTTATGATGTTTTCTGGGATATGTTCTTATTAAGCTTCTTTTCCCCCTCATCCTCTCATTTAAAATTTTTATACAAAATATGCATTCAAAAAACAAAACCCTGATACTAATGAATCAAATTGCATTACTGCAGATTATTCAGATGATGTCGTAAAGCAGAAAAATGTGTCAGGTCATCTGTCAAGGAACACAAAAGATTTTATGCATTCAAGTCAAATGACAGATTTGTAATAGCAGAGGTGGTGGCTGATAGGACTTTAATTAGCCATCAGAATATAAATACCTCATATACTGATATCTCATTTGGTTATTAATGAATATACAAATATTAAAAGAAAAACTGTCGACAGTTAATTATGCAAGGTATACATTTGCTCTGTGTTAATAGCATTATCTTTTGGCCCTGGTGTCCTGAGCCAATAGCAATTATAAAGATATGCTGCTGCTGCTTCTTCTTCTTCTTCTTCTTCTTCTTCTTCTTCTTCTTCTTCTTCTTCTTCTTCTTCGCAAAAGCAGATAATTTTATTCTTTGTAAAACTGTATTTTTCAGTGATACTTACATTTGCTACCAGAAATCTACAGACTCAATTAATGTTGATCATCCTCCTGCTGCTAATCCATGAACAAAATTAGCCTCAGCTCCAAAGATTTGCCACAGGCAGATGGCATTTATAAGTGACTGACAGAGGACTTGACACCGAGCACAAGATTTACGAGTGGAAAAGTCTGCATTCAAATATCCCCCCCCCGCACTATCTCTCATGGAATAATAGGAATTAAAGAGAACATTTGTGATGGATTTTAATTGCTGTAGGCTGCTTTGGGATCCAATTTTAGTTGAAAAGAAAGAAATGCTAGGGCTGAATCAGGGTTGCATAAGTGGGACTCTACTCATGCAGCAGGGCTTTTCTGGCCCCACTTCTCTCACAATCAACTACGCACGCACAAAGCTATACCAGAGCACTGAGGAACTCTCTTGAATGGCATGGGCTATGGTACTCTGCTTGTGCAAACTGCCTAAGCCCTACTGGGACAGTTCAGCTGGTAGAGCATGAGACTCATAAACTCAGGGTTGTGGGTTCAAGACCTACGCTGGGCAAGACTCCCTTCCAACTCTACAGTTCTATGGCTCTACTGTTGTTCATTCCCCACCACCACCAGTACCACATCTCACATTGTGCTGGAGGGTTCCCTAACTCTCAGGGGTTGCTGGGAACTGTAACAGGGAAGAGGGGATAGGACCCCACCCCCTGTCCACTGCACAAGCAAAATTCTGCTCATGCAAAACCTGAATCTGTACCATGCTAAACTATTGTGTGATAAAAACCAACCACCTTGCAATCTAAGAAGAGAGTTCAAAGAACCTACAAATTCACTTCTGCTCCAAAAGGCATGGGAATTGTAAATTAAAGCACCACCCTTAACTTGCCCACCATGAAAGCAGTAAAGAGGCTGACAGTCTTAGATATGTGTTCGCTTACAACTAAGCCGCCATGCATACACGCTATGCCTTGATCTTTCAGCAACAGTAAAGCTGGCACTGCATAAAAATTTAATAAGAATTTTCTTACATACTGAAATTCCCATTGGAAAGAACGGATGCAACAGCAACCTCCATTTGGAAAGAAATCCTATTGCTGGTCACAGATCAAATGAAGCGACTCTGGGAGAATACAGAGGAGCAGCATCTTTGGGACTGGCAGGGATGCAAGATGACGTGGAAAGGGGAAAGCACCACAGAGAATGGGGGTGGTGGGTGAATGACAGGAGAATATAGGGACTGGGTACAATGGCCAAGAAATAGGTGGAATGATAGGACTACGGCCCCATCCACCAGTCAGTAAAAGAGAACCTGCTCTGTTGTTGGCTTCCCTTTTCCCACCCCACTCCCTTTTACTTTAGTATTGTGTTTGTTAAGATGTGAGACTCCATCAAGGCCTGCCTCTCTGCATGTAGGAAAGTAGCATGTCTCAGGTAAGATTTCAGCTCTACCGTCATGTGAATTATCCAAGGGAAGCAAGGTTTGTTTTTTTATGAGGGAGAATTCAAGCATGAAGTTCCCCCACTTGTTGCCTTAAATGGTACTGTCTAGAAAGGGCTGTGTTTTGGGGTTTTTCCAAACATGGTAGCTTCATGAACATGGCTAAGATGAAGATCAGGAAAGACTATAGGGCTTGATAAATAACACTAAGGAATGGTTAACTGATAGCACAGAAATAATACAATTGTGATGAAATCAACTCAACACATTTCTCAAAGGTGGCAAATTCTGTTAACACTGCAAAATATATTTCTATCACTCGCTAAATACACTTCACATCTTCTAAACAACTTCACAGTGTGGAATATTGAAGTATTTATTGTGTTATAAGAAGAGAGAGAGAGAGGAGAAAATTAGTGGTTGTACAACAATACGTTTTTAAGTGTTGTGTCAGAGCATGTCTGGAGAAGTGAAAGAGCAAAGAAATGCTATTGTAACTTGCTGTACCATTGGCATTTTGTGGGCATTCAAATGAAGGGGAGGGGGGAAGCACCATACAGGACTCGACTCTACGGCTGGTGTATCACTGAAACATCCTGAATTAATAATGATGATAAAATCCACAGATGGCATATGGTGGGGTTCGAACTAGACTCAGTCTTACAGGTAACATGGAAGGCTATGCATCTCATCTCATCTTGTGAAATTAAGCATTTAAATGGCACTAGCAGATGTGAGCGGCCTTTAAATTTACCTATATACCTTCACACTCAAACACAAGATGCAGTACAGACAGGAACATTGTGAAAATGTTTAAAAAGGCTCATGTCAACTGATTTCTGAAGCAACAGCAAAGCAAGCAGCATTTAGAGCCAGATTTATCAACGGCATAATTTCACTGCTTTAGTTCACTTGCTACTTACACTGACAAACAGGGGCCTTAGAAGTGTTTACCACACAAGCATACATACAGCAGAATATCCAAAATTTCAACTCAGGAAAAAAAACAACCATAGAAGAAACTCACATACAAGCCCAGTGCTCAAATCCTGGCACTCTTTGGCTCACTAATTCTGATCCAAACAGTGTAGCCTCTATATAATGAAGGGAGACAATCTCCACATGGTCTTTCCCACAGCTCAGTGGAAAGAGCCCTCTGATCTGCAGATTAGTGGAGATGATTTCTCTGTAACTACTCTCATCTCTCCGCTGGAAAAACCCTCCTCCAGCTCCTGATGGAGATGATGTCACTGCAGTGCTCCAGAAGAACTTATTATACTGCTCATCAAGTCAGAAAGCTGCAGACAATCAAGGTGGAAGGCAAAAGCAACACAGTGGATACCAATTTATTTATTTTTAAGTTGCCACTTTAGTTTTTCTAAACGTTGCTTCTCTGTCCATTCTCCATTGCTGGTTCTAATAGCCTTGGCTTTCACCAATGTTGGCCATCGATGCGATCTCTCAAAATCATTTCTAAGAACAAATGAAGTGCACCAGCTGTTCTTGAATGATTGTGAGTGGCAAGTATTGGTGTGAAGCAACAGGAAACGATGGAGATGCATGTTAACAAGAGCTGTGGAAGCATTCTTACCAAGGAAGTTGCAGGCAACTTTTAGAGAACAAAGCTTTTATTTAGTAGGCCCAAGAAATTTAGGTTCTAGCCCTGTCTTCAAGTACCGTATGTCCATTAACTGACCTGGATGAATTGTAAAGCCATGAAAATCATGTTGACTTTTCTTCAGTTCATAAAACTAAATCATGCTAAAAAGAACAAATTTAAAATACTCCATATTGTGGCTATACAATAGGAATAAGCTGCCTACTGTATCCTGCAATCTGAGCTAAGCTTTGCCTTGAGGATTTCTTGCAAGTCCTTAGGCTGAGCTATTTAACAGCTCAGATATAGGAAAGCTCATCTTCAATACTTTGCAAAGAATTCGAGGTCTTGAAAAGCATTTTGCTTTGATGTAACACCTCAGGTTCTGCAGGGCTTACTTTGTTCTAAAGGGGCTTCCCTGGTAAAATCAAAGTGCTCTAAATCACGTTTTCTGAACTTTGTAAACATGCTCAGCCTTATGTAAATGAATTAGCAAAATGCTATGCAAACTGAAAACTAACTCAGTAAAAGCTCAAGCTATGCAGACTACAGGTTCGCTTTGATACAACAAACTCAGTTCCTGGTAGCTTTAATTCCAAAGAAAACTGTTTTGGGCAATTCCAGGCAGATGACCTGTTCTGAGCAAGTTTGTCTCCATATTAGAGTTCAAAGCAAAATAGAGTGAGCTAAACTTTAAAAATACAGGGAGTTTCCTATTCAAATTCCTCATTGGCAAGAACTGAAGAACGTAGTGACATTATCTCTCTGCGTGCTGTCGGAAGCAAACTGTGAAATCCAATATTTACCCCCAGAAGTACAGTGTCATCTAGAAGTAGATGACTTTAAAGAAGTAGATGAATTTAAAATATACATGACAAAGAAGTAAGATCCTGTTCACGTGTTGCTTTCCAGAAAGGAAACTTGACACATGATGGATACAATCTTATGTTTTTACCACTATGAGGACAAAACAAAAACTAAACCAGGCTGTATAGGGGAGGCTTTTACAGTCAAACCTCAGTTGTCAAACGTAATCTGTTCCGGAAGCCCCCTTGGCTTCCGAAACATTCGGCAACCGAGGCATGGCTTCTGATTGGTTGCAAGAGCTTCTTGCACTCAATGGGAAGCCACGTTGGATGTTCGGCTTCCAAAAAACGTTCAAAAACCAGAGCATTTACTTCGGTGTTTTCGGTGTTCGGGAGCCAAAATGTTCGAAAACGGAGCCGTTTGACAACCAAGCTTTGACTGTATCAAGATGTACTGCATTAACACAAATACCATACAGCCCACTTCTAGTTTACATTTTCCTCATGGAAAGGGGTGGGCACATGCTTGTGACACAGGATGGGGTTTCTCTGAAGAAAACCATTATTGAAGTTGCCCTTAACCCACTTGCGACACAAAATTCTGTGAAAGTATGAGCTCCTTTGACAATGTTATTTCATAAAAACATACTAGTGTACAAATTCTGTTCATAATCTGATAGGCAAAAGAATTCTAAAATAATTTTGAGATAATCATCTATGAAGGCAAACTGTTATAACTTCCCATCTGAGCCAGAAGTCTGCTATTAGTTATTTTGGACCCTATCATCACAGCATGCAATTAATGTCAAGAATTCACTCCATTGCTTTATATATTTATCATCACCCAGGTACCTCTTTCTTATCACCACTACTTGAAACAAAAGCAAAGGTTGTTCTGGTTAAGAATGACGATTTCAGAAGTAGTCACCACCCCTCCAACTCTCCCTCCCTCTAAACCTGTACACAATGCACACCACTGAGGAATTTATAATTTCAACTGGCCCTAAAGGCCAGATGGGGAAGGCATCTGTGATCACTAGCTCAACTTTGAAGCACCACTCCCCAAACTGGAAGACAATAAACAGACTAAATCACATGGCAGTAAAAAACAACAACCCCGAAATGATGTGGTAGAATTATCAAAAATATTTGGAAGCTTTTACACAAATTCACTGATCAAACCTACATGGTGCTTGAAATAAAATAATAATAAAAAATACAGCATTATCTGTACGAACACCAAACCAAATATTTCACTATATTTATAAAAGTGCCAAAAAAGCCTCTTAAACCTTTAAAAAATATTGCTTGAGATCTAAAGGTTCAAGAACAAAGGGCTAAAGTCCACATATGGTGCTGCTACTGTATGACGCAGAATTAAATTATGCTAACTAATTCTGATAAGCACCTCCAAGCATCTCACACCCACACAAAAACCCTTAGTAATTATTTTTTTGTTGGGGGGGGGGAGTTAAAATACCATAGATAAAGAAATAGCAAAATATTCTAAGGTATGTTCTTGCTTATGATAACTCATGCAAAGTCAACATTAGCGCTGGTTATTACATGTCTTTTAAATCCCAATGAATAGTTCACAATAATTGTAGACTATTCAGAACTGCAGAGTATAGATCTTAACCAAGGAATCTAATCCTGGATGCTTAGGTCTAATTCTTTAAAAAAACATACGGGAGAGATAGCTTTGATCTGCTTGTACACAGCAAGAATGCTACCTCTGCAAAGCAAGGAGTGTGTGAGTCAAAGTTTGATTACAAAATGTATTTTATCTTTCATGTAGTATATATTGCTTGATAATTTGCTGGTGAACAACTACTTCCATAGGGGTCCACATTTAAAAGTTGAACATTTGAAGTTTAATTTCTGTGCATTTACACTAGACAAATTGACTCCTGATGTTATCCTGCCTTGGGTTTAATGAAGTAAATTTAGTCATGACATAATCCCAGTTTTGGCTACAGATAATACTTGCCGCCGCAAGACTTTATTTCACACAGGGTGCAAAATCAGCTTGTTCAGTCACCAGTGATTCCCCTTTTGAAAGTTACCTCCAGATGCTCTAAAATATAGGGAGGGTTCGTCATGCCAAGTCTTAGCATTGCTCCTTCAGGGATTACTTCAACCAGCTTCCATAGGAGAGTAGGGAGGTCTGTGCCAATGTCTCTTCCGTAAGCCCCTGTGTCTTCACTGGTCAGCCATATCTCGCATACCCCTTCTGTCAATAAGAGAAAGAGCAAGATAATTAACAAATCTGCTTTTGAGCTTGTTATTTGATCATACAGCTGCTCACTCTTTTTAATGCACTATTTCATAAACTAAACTATTATGCCGCCAGTCTGGTCATTCAATTGCAAAGAAAGAGAGGTATATCCCTTGGGTAGTAGTGGATTACTGAGTTCATTTTATGAGCATCAGAGTGCTACAACAATGCTGTAAATTATTGCTTCGGAGTGATTAACATTCACAGCCAGTGACTAATGTGAGACGCCTTTTTAATGCAACTCAGACAGGAGTAAGATTGCACTTCCATCACTAAGACTTTCTGGCTTATTAAATCATGAGCAAGTACTATATAGTGCTGGTCAAACTGCTAACAGTTAGCTGACTTACTGCCTAGTTAACAGCCTGTAAAAGGCAAAGTAGCTAAGTCTCAAACAGGCCAAACTGCTGACTATACTGATCATTCCTTATAGGGAAGCAACTGTTACAAACCAAAACCTTTACATGGTATTTACAAGGCTATATTAAACTTGACTACTTTAAAAACAACAACAACCAGTCAGTATGATATGGAGAAATATTCACCTCAAGAAAATGCTTCTTCAAGCAGCTCATGTATGACTGAGGTTGCAGGAAATCATATTATTTTACTTGCAGCTTAAAAGAATATGATTCTCTAACATAAGTTATTTACCATATTTTTTGCTCTATAAGACTCACTTTTTCCCTCCTAAAAAGTAAAGGTGTGTGTGTGTGCATCTTACGGAGCGAACACAGGCTGCTTAGCTATCCCAGAAGCCAGAACAGCAAGAGGGATTGCTGCTTTCACTGTGCAGCGATCCCTCTTGCTGTTCTGGCTTCTGAGATTCAGAATATTTTTTTTCTTATTTTCCTCCTCCAAAAACTAGGTGTGTCTTGTGGGCTGGTGCATCTTATAGAGCGAAAAATACGGTACATCTTCCCTTACAAGAAATGACTGTTAGACTGCAATCTTATTTTAGTTATAAAACTCTGTAAACCACCACGTAGAATGAGCGGTGGAAAAAAGGCCCCCATTGAGGTCACCATGTTATTTAAGAAGAAATCCTAAATATGGAAAGCCAGAATAATTTACACCACCTTAAATTAAACCGGCATAAAGTATGCCATATCCGAACTCTGTCCAGGAGCAAGTCTACTGTTGGCTGAGCCATTCTAAGCCTGGCAGAGGGAAGACAAGCCTTTAAAATAGAGTTTGACTTCACCTTTTTTGCCAGAGTGCATTCTGCCATGTTGCTAGGTTACGTGACTGAGCTGACTGGAGTCAGGATCCAGCGTTAAGTCCTGCCCCACTATGCTCATTTTTCAGGGCTTATGCCAGTGTCAGTTCTGCCAGTCTCAGCTGAGTGGGATGACTGAGTTAGACCAGTGTCTCTCTGGCTGAGCTAGAGCTGGGGGCTTATACCAGCATAGCCCAGCTGAGCTGGGAAAATGCTGGCACTTGTTCCTGGCTTCATAAACTACAGTGGTGCCTCGCAAGACGAAATTAATTCGTTCCGCAAGTCTCTTCGTCTTGCGGTTTTTTCGTCTTGCGATGCACGGTTTCCCATAGGAATGCATTGAAAATCAATTAATGCGTTCCGAGGGAAACCGCCTTCAGACCAGGTCCGGGGACAGTCTGTCCCCGGACCTCCTCTGAAGGCTGGGGGGGGGGGGACAAGGGCTTTTCTTCCCACCCCCAGCATTTTAAAAAACCCTGGGACAGCGGAGGACTTCTCCGCTGTCCGAGGCGATTTAAAAGCCCCTGGGAAGGCAGGCAGGGGGGACAAAGACTTTCGCCCCCTGCCCGCCTTCAGAAGGTGTTCCCGCCCCCCTCCCCACTTCGGAACAGCTTTCCGAAGTGGGGCGGCTGGGGCAGATGTCCCCGCCCCCCCTCCCCGCTTCGGAACAGCTTTCCGAAGTGGGGCGGCTGGGGCAGGTGTCCCCGCCACCCGCCCCGCTTCGGAACAGCTTTCCGAAGTGGGGCGGCTGGGGCAGGTGTCCCCGCCCCCCCTCCCCGCTTCGGAACAGCTTTCCGAAGTGGGGCGGCTGGGGCAGATGTCCCCGCCCCCCCTCCCCACTTCGGAACAGCTTTCCGAAGTGGGGCGGCTGGGGCAGATGCCCCCGCCCCCCCTCCCCACTTCGGAACAGCTTTCCGAAGTGGGGCGGCTGGGGCAGATGTCCCCGCCCCCCCTCCCCGCTTCGGAACAGCTTTCCGAAGTGGGGCGGCTGGGGCAGATGTCCCCACCCCCCCTTCGGAACAGCGTTTTAAAATGCTGGGGGTCGGGAGCGAAGCGCTGCCGACCCCCAGCATTTTAAAATCTCCCCGTGACCCGGGAAGATTTTAAAATGCTGGGGGTCGGGCTGCCGACCCCCAGCATTTTAAAACCTTCCCGGGACACGGGGAGATTTTTAAATGCAGGGGGTCGGCAGCGCTTCGCTCCCGACCCCCAGCATTTTAAAACCTCCCCGGGACACGGGGAGATTTTAAAATGCTGGGAGTCGGCAGCGCTTCGCTCCCGACCCCCAGCATTTTAAAACCTTCCCGGGACAGGGGGAGATTTTAAAATGCTGGGGGTCGGCAGCTAACGCTTCGCTCCCGACCCCCAGCATTTTAAAATCTCCCCGGGACAGAGACTTCTCTGCTGTCCCTTGGAGATTTTAAAATGCTGGGGGTCGGCAGCGAATGCTTCGCTCCCGCCCGCCAGCATTTTAAGATCGCCCCGGGCAGGCGGGGGGAAGGCAGGCGGGGGGGAGCAAAGACTTTTGCCCCCCGCCGGCCTTCAGAAGAGGTCCTCTTCTGAAGGCTGGCTGTGGGCGAAAGTCTTTGCTCCCGACCGCCAGCATTTCCCTATGGGCTTTCGTCTTGCGATGCAAGCCCATAGGGAAATTCGTCTTGCGAAGCGCCTCCAAAACAGAAAACCCTTTCGTCTTGCGGGTTTTCCGTCTTGCGAGGCATTCGTCTTGCGGGGTACCACTGTATAGCAAAGATAGGAAAGACTGTCCAAACTCTGGCATGATGTCAGTCCATAAGCTTTCCCTCTTTCCATTTTAATCAATGGAAAATCTCACTTTCCATTTTAATCAATAATGTTGTCACATAAACTATATGAGAGGAAGCACATACATCAAACACCAGTTAAACAAACACTACGAAAATATTTCACAAAGCAAATCACATAAACAGGACATTAACTACTATTTTCCAGTTGCAAGTGTTCATCAAAACAATGTGCAGGCTTTAAAAATGAAGAGTAATCTTCATTATAAATTTCCCAGTCAAATGGTTCCACATTTTTGACCTGTGAAGAGGGTTTCTGGAATGCTGCCTTGCTGGTGCCAGATGAGTGTAAAGAAATAGTCACCATGAATACGAATGAAAACAATATTCACATGGAAAAGAACAGCTTTCTCTGAAATCTGCATAGGTGGGGATCATTAGCCCCCTGGTGGGCTGAAAATTAAATCGTAGAAAGAGGAAGCAGCTGCAACAGTAAATTAGCAACAACAGGAATAACTGTCTTTACCGCTCTACCATCAGGGCGTTAAATAACAGGGAAAGTCTATTATTCATCCAAGCACAAATACAAACTTCTAAAGAATCTCCGCTCTACCCAGCCTGTTTTTATATCAAAAACATTAGTTCAATTCAGACACCACAGCAAACAATGTAAAGGAAGTTCAGCTATGATTTAGTGCTGTGGCCCTCTGGATGTCCTAGGCTTCCATTTCGCATCACCCTGGACCACTGGCTATGCTAGCTAGGGCTGATGGGAGTTGGAAGACTACAGGTACTGCACACCTGGCATAGTACAATATGGAAACAGGCCAGCAATAATTTGATGTGGGTTGTGTACACCCTGGTGTGTGCTAACTACTTTCCGTTGTGATATAAAAATCAACAAACCAAATCATAATGTTATATAACTGTATCAACAGCAAAATGTTACAATTTGAAAGTAATTAGTAATAAAGGAACATTTCACAGTATTTGGGGGAAATCTATAGTCTGTTGGCTTGTCTATGTATGCAAGAAAATTGTGACACACTAAAAAGCTACTTCTTCCTAGGTTTAACTTCTGCCTTCCTTATCTACTGACTCAGTATGAGTGTAATCACTATTTCACAGGCACCATTTCCTGGGTTATTATTCCTTAAGGATTTTTCAGGGGATTTCCAGCATCATGGCACACAGATTTCATCAGGTATCGACAGACTCAACAGAAAGTCTGTAGATGTAGGCTGGTCTCTCTCCTTTCAAAATTTACCACCAATAATTTGGAATTCAAACACCAATAATTTGGGGATCAAAACTGCCTTGGTCCCTAGGAGTCGGCACGTATGGTACTGATTGAAATATTAATCTGTAGATGTTTTCCTATATTTTTACTTAGTCTTCTACATCCACAGTCTCCCCTTCCCAGGCTATGGGATACAATGGAATGTCTTCATTTTTTAAAAAAATACAAGAGCAGTTCCTAGTAAAACTAATGCCTTTCCATTTCTCATGGATCATACTAATATCCAGAAAATACAGATTCTTGATCTGAAGCCATTCTCATTCTTAAATTACATTACATCTTGTGATAGAGACACTGGTACCGCACTCTGGGAAAAGTTGGTGATTTCTGAGCACAGAATTTCTATTCCATTTCTTCTGATAAGCTAATAAATACATATCAGTATTAATGTGTCTAAATAGATGCTGATGGAACAAATGTAGAAACCGAAAAAATTCATTGTCAAAGCCCCCAGCTAATCTGTGAAGTTGCAATTGTAGTGGCTAAAGAACACCAAAAAGCATTGATCTGTCCCTTGAAACTTTCATATGAGCATTTGAAATGGTAACAGGCTGGATTCTACTGCAGAGTGGTTTGCTGCATGATGCTACTTTGGGTGAAACCTAGCTCTGACCTTCACCCTCACCCTCATATTCTTATCAATAATTGCCCAGCCACTTTGCCCTTCCTTTTCTGG